TGGCCAGTAAATTTATGGTGCTCTTGACTCCTTGGTGTTGACATAGACTGTCGCATTGGGCTTATAGTCCCCCCAAAGTAGATAGAATATGGCTTTGGGTATATTATAATAAGATCCCCACATACCCCATCTTCTATCTACTTAAGGGGGACTATAGATCGGTAAAGTTAGCTGTGAAGCAAAGGCTTGGGAAGGCTTCATTCTTCCAGTTTGAGCTGTCTTTGTTCAGGATTCAGGGCTTTGGGGCTCCAAAGTGGATGCACTGGGGTCTCCTCAACTCGGCTGAACTCTGGCTCCCAGGCCCATGCATACACAACACTTAAGCGGCCTCGCCTACTGAATTTTCATCCTCGTTTCATGATTCTTGTCTGGGCAGCGACACCAAGCCTCAGGGCTATACGAGCCATGGTCAACAAACTCCTTAAAGGGGTTATATAGGGGGTGACATTGGGGTGTATTATGGGGCTCATTACGGGGGATACCAGGAGTTTAGACTAGAGCTCATATGGCTTTGGGCCACGGGCTCATCAGTAGCAGATGCTTTCAAGTGTTCAGTTTTTTGTCGAGGGTCCTGGTACAAAAAATGGCAGAAACAGCCCAGGATTTCCACGGAGGGCATCGCAGCGCGTGGATTTTCATCTTGCTTAGCCCCAAGAGGTCCCCAAGAATAATTACTGAACTGCCATAGTTGCAAGGTCCTCAGGTGGAAAGGGGCCCGTTCGTTTTCATTACCCCAGACCACGCGCCCACAACACCAAACCCCAGGTGCCAAATCCAACACTCGAAGCTTTAAAGCCTGAACCCCAAACGCTCAACCCCTTGACACCTTAAATTGGACTTTTCAGGTCGAAGTTCCTCGCCCCGTCGTTGTTGAGAAGATTGTGCAGGCGGGGCATATTTGTCGGTTGGCCACACAGTTTATTACGACTAGTATTGCTATTATTACCATTATTATGACTATTATGATTGTTCTTATTCTTACTATCATTAGTATTACCATATTATTTTTACTGATACTACAAGGTTCCAGGTTGAGGGATTAGCAGCACAGTCGTGGCGGATCGAGGCTTGATCTGAGCTTTGCACGGGTTGGCACGTAGGTAGAGAGATGTGAGCCATAGTCTAGACTCCTTAAAAGGGGTAAAGGGGGTTCATATAGGGGGTTCTCATGGGGACTACTATGGGATTTTTAAGGAGCATACTAAGAGTTTAGACAATGGCTCATGTCAACTTGTAATCCCGATGTATCCCTGAGGTCCCTATCAACCCCATGTTTGCGAAGCCCTCGAGTGTTAGGCCTCAAGGGGGCTCCATTGTGGCGGTCCCCTATTAGGAAATGGTAGGGAGGCCCTACGCGAGGGCTTGGGGAGTTTTTTCCATGCGGGCGCCCTCGTATGAGGCACCCTTGAGCCTTAGACCCTTAAACCTTTGAACCCTCAACCCTTAAAGCTTAAAACCTGGAACCCTCAGCCCTAAAACCCTAAAACCCTAAACCCTTAAACCCTTAACCAAGAATTCCTTAATTTTGGGGAGATTCCACCCATCTAATCCTAGGAGCGTTGGGGACCTTGCACTTAGGGGTCAGGGGTTGGGAGTTTAGAGGCGCGCTGTTGGGGGATTTAGGAATTTCACCCTAAACCCTACCAAGCCCTAAACCCTGCAGGTCAGGGTTCAAGGATTGGCTGGGCTAGAGCGACCAATTCTGAAGACTGGTCTTGCCTTCCTTACTGCAAGGGCCTAAGATGCTGTACTGAGAGGCTCCCACTGTTCTTGGTAATGCATGAAAGATCACGCTTACGCCGTTGAGAGTTTAGCGTTCAGGGTTTTAACCCCTAATTTTGTGGAGGGGCCTAATATAACCCCAATACTAATCCCCATAAAGCCCTAATATAACCCCTACATAACCCTAATATAACCCCAAGTGTTAGGCCGTGAAGCCTGGCTTTGCTTCTCTGTGCTTTTCACACCAGAACCGGCATGGAAGCCCTTGTTGGAGGGGCAGAACTCTGCATGGGGCCGACCCGGTTTCAACGTTGACTGCTACGTGTTAAATTGTACCAAAGATTGTTGATGGCTACCTATGAACTTCCAAGAAAGCAGCTGTTTTTGTTTTGCGCCGAAAACCAGCGAAGTCGACGCTTTGAGCAGGAAGCTGTTATGTTCTGACTGGCCCAAAGGAGTAGCCTATTTACTTTTTCATACCTTGGTATCATATCAGCGCAAAGAGGACAAGTTTCATACCCCATGGCAAATGGGGGTTGAGAAAACTAAGTTCTACGCTCGTGTTGTTGCCTGGGTCAGCTGGGCTCACACATGAAGAATGCTGTTGGTGCTTGTTCGGCCAAGTCTCAAACAGGGGTTTCAAAAAATTGGGGCCCCTTGTTGGAAGTCACCATGATAAGGTCAGCAGAATGCAGCAATGTAGCACACTCTTTGGTGTATCACCCCCCACCAACAGTAGGGACTCCAGAAAATTGCAAATTGGGGTCCACAATAGGGGTCCCACGTTTCTTCGCGGATTACTTTAAAAGGGGATGCTCTGGATTCGGCAAGGGCCCACTGAAGAGAGTCTTCAAGCAATGGGCTGACACCTTGTAAGCTGCTTAACATCAAAGAGAGTCTTTTGGCTAAAATGAGGACATGGGTGCAAAGTTATGGGACCTCTGTTACCCATAAATGTGCTCCACGAGGGGATTAGCACTGTACTCCGAGCGCAGCTTCCCCACCAGCTTGTCCTCGTGTTGACAGGTGCCCACCGTTCACGTGGAGGAGAAGATCGTCCGCGTTCCGAAGGCAGCTGGAAGTCATCAGTGACCATAAAGCATCTGAGCAGTATGTTGAATAGAGATAACTCTAAACCCTAAATAGTAGTTTCCATTTTGCTTTCCATTATCCCTATTTAACCCCCATATAATCCCTATGTCCCCCTATAAGCAGGGATGCCTGCTACAGTTCCAGAGATAGAGGCTGATTGTTTCATCCGTTGGGTTGTAGTCCTGTGTTAGAAGGACGTGCTTACATCATCTTGCTCGAATCACTTAACAGGTTTATAGTAGGGAACAGCGGATGCCGAGACATCCTGATGACCTCCCTCACCCTTCGCCTCGGCTCTCTCCTCCCCAGCAAGGTTCGTTAAGACTTCTTGGCTCATGCGTTTACAACCTCCATCAAGTGCTAGCGGGCTAGCGAAAACCCGAAGAAATTACCTGAATCCATTTTCTGATTTGCCGTGATGTGCTTGAAGAATTTGCGCGTCTCCTTGGGATTTAGACTTTTTGGGACATTCGGTCAGTTGTTCTCCAGGAAACCATCATAGGGCGTATCCTCTTGAAACCTGAACTTTTGACAGCATCTACAATCTACATGCGGAAGATCCCTTGTAGGAAGCATGCCCCTAAACCCTAACTACTAAGCCTTAACCCCCAAGCGCTACAGTTGTGATGTGTTTGGGGTTAGAGTGTAGCTTCCATTTTCCTTTGCATCCGTTCATTCCCTGCTCACAACCAGCATCTGATACTGATAAACTTACTGGGGCTTAGCAGGGAAGAAGGGAATGTATTTTATTTGGGATTATATGAGCTAAAATCTGAGCTCCTTAAAGGGGGTTATATAGGGGCTTACATAGGGCAGTACTATAGGGGTTACTAAGGGTGATGCTAGGGGTTTAGACTATAGCTCATATAGGGAGTATTTTCCCTTATTCCCTAGGAACCACCAGTAAGTATTTATTCAGGCCCGTACAGCATAACTTGCCAGGTGCTCAACACCGTGGTGGATACCGTGGTCCAGAACACCGTTGAGACTGTTGAGGTTGTGAAGCCGGTGGTGGCGCCTTGGCTTGTTGCCGACAGAATTTAAGGTTTTGGGCCACTGTTCACTATGACTGCTACTGGTGCTATTACTAGCCTGCTTCCTCTCGTGATTGCTGTGTTTTCCTAGTATTTTTGCTATTAGGGCTTGGTGTTCAGGGTTTTGGTTTGGGGTTAATGTAGACCCATGATTAACAAACCCCCTCCCTTTAATAGGGATTATAGTAGGGATCCTAATATTTGGGCCCTTGAAAGGAGGGGGTTTATTAATCATGGGTCTACATTAAGGTTTACGTTAGGGATCTCCGTGACAGGCAGGTCAAGGAGGCTTCTGCAAAGCCCGGGGTAAGCCTGGGAGAAGACGCGGTTTAGGAGTTAAGGGTTTGAGAAGTTTGTGGTGAGCCTAGGGTTTAGGGTTTAAGGTTTAGGGTTTAGGGTTTAGAGTTTAGGGTTTAGGGTTTAGGTGGAATCTGCTAAACGAACACTCTGTGAGCCTCACAACGGACCCCTCACAACCCCATCAACAATCCAGTATACCCCGAGGATCCGTAGGGGCTCTAGAACCTGTAGGGGCCCCAGATTCCCCCATAACAAGACAGCGCCCCTCCCCCAAGACTCCATTTTATAGCTTCAGCTCTGTTATTATACATTGGCAAATGCTTACGCTCTGACCCTAAGCATTCAACTCTAAACCAAATCCGAAACCCCAAATCCTTGACCTCAAATCCTAAAACCCTAAGCCGAAAATCCGAACCCCTAAAGCCTTCAGCTGGAGTCTCCGAGATGTTATGTCGCGGTTTGGGTTTCTCAGCACTACGGAATCTGGAGTGACAAGCAGGTGCATAGGTTTAAGGATTCAGGGTTTAGGCTTATAGGGTTTACGGTATATACTCCTCCAAAGCAACTCGAAACCTTTTTTAGGCTTTAGGGTTTAGTCTTCATAGGGCTCCTCTTCAGGTGAAAATTGTAGGTGTGTGGGAAGGTGGGCTAGCGGTGTACTGGAAAAGTGCAGCTGTGAGTTTTCGGTTGTAGCCCCAAACATCAAGCCAGCGCACCTGTAGCCCTAAACCCCAAACCCTAATCCCGAGGTCTGTGTCTCCTAAAGGTTCTGGGCTGCTGAATGCAGGCCTTGCGTATGTCCTCAATCCCGCAACTCTTTTCGTAATCTTGGAATCGGGAGCTTACCCTCTTCTAAGTTCATGTGAAAGCTGAAAACGACCCTGTGTCAACTTGTGTCCTCTTACTAGAGACCACGGCGGAGGACAACGCTAAAACCTGACCCCGAATGGAGGGTACCTTCTTGCATCATTGTTCCTAGCATGCAAAGGCTGAACCTGAGACCGGCAGCCCAGCCCCTAAATAACTCGAGGCCCCCCAACCACGGCTTGAGGGTTTAGGTTCAGGGACTTTGGGCTAGGGATTATATTGGAATAATGGAAAATAGAATGTAAACCACTATATTCTAATAGGGGTTATATAGAGATGCTGAAAAATGAGATGGCAACTGTTGAGGGATTTAGGTCTAGGCCTTTGGGGCTTGGGGCTTTAGGGTTAGTGCCCCCATAGGACCTGAAGCCCTAAACCCTAACCCTAAACCCTAAACCCTAAACCCTAAACCCAAGCCCTTCTGAGGTGCACAAGGTGGTGCAGCGAAAGAGGCCAGTCGTGCAAGAGGACGACTTCCCTCCCAAACCTTAATCCTGTAACCTGGGTAGGCCCCTGGGATAGGGTTTAGGGTTTAGGGTTTAGGGTTTAGGGTTTGGGGCCCCTGGGATATTTAATCTTTTCCCTAATGGCTTTAATAGGGGACCTCATATACTGCTATCTTTCAATGGGCTTTAGGGGCCAACCTAGTAACTCAAAACCTTTCCTAGAACCTCTTGAGCCCTAAACCCCAAGCCCCAAACCCTAGACCCTAAACTAAGTCCATACTGGCACCTTGGAGTTGATATCACGATGAATGCCTTTGGTTTGGAAATTTGCGAGGGGTGCGTTTGAGCAATGCTGATGGATTCTGGTTCTTTCCGGTTCCTCCTGAAAGGACTCCTGTTATGCTGTGTGGGCCTCCTTAGGTAGAGCTTATGTTGCAAGGTGTAAGATTGATCCAAAAAACTTTCCCACGGTTGCACCAGTCTACACCTTTGCACCCGGATTTTGGCTTTGAGAGAAGTCAGTTCGTAGATAAAGCCACCGCTAAATAATTATCTCAGTAACAGACCCCAACAGCGATGGAACATCACCGCGATTGTTTTTTCCGCCGTTAGCTACGCCTTACGAACCTTGCGTGAGAGGTTCCTTATTTAGATTATTGGAAAG